AGGATCGAAAATAAGAAGAAAGGTAAAGAGGAAAGAAGAGGAAGAGGGAGGAGAGGCAGTAGAACACAAGAGTTGAAAGGAGGAGCAAAAGCTTAATGTTCTGCTGCCGCCACTTTAATTAATAWTTATAGGTTATGCTCATTACATGGAAAGGACAGATCTGCCCTTAGTCTTTACATAACAAACAGATCAAAATAAGACTGAAATAAGTAACAACTGAAACAACTAAATAACCAATAGCTAACCCTAGGAAGACTAGAACACCTTCTACCCTACAAGTACAGTGGGACCATAGCTGTGGGGCCCACATCAGTGTTCTCTACACCCTCCAAGGTTAAGGACTGGAAGAGCAGGTATTTCCTCATTTCTAAGAGTAGTGGTTGGGATATGAGTACTGTTTGGCAGATTGATTGTCGGACTTTCAATGAAGGGTTCAATGAAGAGCTACGGGCTGCGATTCAGGATTTTGTCTACCAGAAGGTTGCAGTAGAAACCCTTTTGGCCAAGCCCATGCTTATACAGGCCAACCTGAGTCGCATAGGTAGGTTGACCTTCTTTGCATATGCTTTTAGTACTAATGGCTTTTTTAGCTCGACTAACCTCCTTTTTTCCTTTCACAAATATGGTAAGCATGGAGTTGATGTTGGCAGCTTCAAAGAAAAAGGCTTTGAGGAAGAAGCGGAGGGTTGAGCATCGTTCTTCAATGGAGGGTACCTCGGGCAGTTCCAAGGTGAGGTCACCGTCATTCGCTCCTCCTATCGTCAACCTTGAGGGAGGTGGCGACCCAATGAGTACAAATCAATACTCTACAGGTCCTACCATGTCTCAACCTCAAGTCAGCCAAGAGAAACGTGAGGCCGGCCCGTACACCTCGGATATCCCTCGTTTCGTTCCTCATGTCAACGTCTCTATACTCGATCGCATAACCGATCCCTACATTGCTCTTCAGATGGCCAGGGGCATGTTGCTTCCTGAGGATGTGCGGTATTACCCCAACTTGGACACAGTTGACGCTAGGACTCGGTTAACTCACTGCATTGTCCAGGTTTGTCTTCTTTCGAAGTTTTTGTCTTTTGGCTTTGTGATTTTTGCTCTAATCATATCTTTCTTTTTTGTAGGCGAACACCATAGGGCATGTCTTATTGGATCAGGTCACTGTGGGCCAGAAGGAGAGGGGCGAACTGCAGGCCAATGTCAGCGCGGAGGAAGACCTTCAATGGTTCATCGAGCTGAGTGGGAAAATGCGGTGTGAGCTGGTCGAGAACCAAGAGACCATCGCCGCTCAGGACCTCCAACTGAACGACGTGCCTGAGGAGCTTGTCATGTAAGTCAATAAGGAGCCCTTGACTCCCAAGGAGGGTGAAGAAGCAAATGGTGAAGGAGAGGGCGAGGAGGGTGACGACGCCAACGATGAGCTGTAGGGCGGCAACGAGGAGTAGGTTAGCCTATCTGATGGTTTCTCTTCTTCTGGTGTTTCCGGGAGCCTGTGCGCTCCTATAAGTTGATCTCTTGGGCCTGCATGTCCTAAATATATGAACTTATTGTTGCTGAGTTTTTTTTTCTTAATATACATGTATCTCGACCATTGGACTTTTGTTAATGGAATTTAGTTTTTCACATTTGATATCTTCTTTGGATGTAGTTTTTTCCTGTTTGTCTGTTGCGCTAGTTAGGTCGGCTAGGTGCCTTTGAATGCAAAATCTCTATCCATCACGCAAGTTAGGTTGGCTAGTTTGCTCCCCCTATGGCCAAGCTATTGAAAGGTCGGCTCAGCCTTAACAAATTTTCGTGAATTTGTAGTCATAGCTCGGAGCTTATCTTCTATGTCCTCTTTTGGCGAGCTGTTGGGAGATCGGCCCGAATGCCTTAACAAAATTTCACAAGTCTACGGATGTAGTTCGAAACACTTCTTTTCAAAGGTAGTACCTTCCGAGGTTATCTATGTTCCACGCACGGGGTACCACCTTCCCCTCCAGTGTTTCGAGCTCGTACGCGTTTCCACCTATTACCTTTGAGATTCTATAAGGGCCTTCCCAGTTCGGGCCTAGCTTTCCTACGCCGGGCTTAGGTACCATGACCTTTTGGAGTACTAAGTCACCAATTCTAAATTGGCATTTCTTGACTTGGGCATTATAGTACCGAGCTACTCGTTGTTGGTATATTGTGGTCCGAATGTAGGCCAAGTATTTGACTTCTTCCACTAGGTCGAGGTTGGTTCATAGATCTTCCTCGTTAGCTTCCTCGTCAAATGTCTCAAACCGTAAGGTCAGCACTTCTATCTCTATCGGTATGATGGCTTCCGTCCCATATGTCAGGTTAAAGGGCACCTATCGCCATCTTGATGGTTGTTCAGTAGGCCCATAACACACTAGGCAACTCGTCCACCCACAAATACCTTGAGAAAGCCGAGCTTTAAGGCCACGATGGGTTGCCCCGTTAGTTACCTCTGCCTGACCGTTAACCTAGGGATGGACGATCGAGGTGAAGTTTTGCTTTATTCCCATTTCTGCTTACCAATTCTGTAACTTAATGTCTTCAAACTGTTTGTCGTTGTCCAAAATCAATACCCTTGGCAGTCCGAATTTGCATACAATATTTCACCAGAAAAAATTATGAACGTTTCGAGCTATGATGGTAACTAACGGCTCAGCCTCTACCCACTTGGTGAAATAATCCACCACTACTACTAGAAACCTTCTCTGCCCAGTTGCTAGTGGGAAGGGGCCCAATATGTCAATCCCCCACTGTGCAAACGACCACGGGCTAGTAAGGTATTTTAGGTCAGTCGTTGGTTGGTGCAGGATGTTGGCATGTCGCTGGAACTTGTCACACTTCTTTACCAACTCGATTGTGTTTGTCTTCATTCTATGCCAATAATACCCTTGTCGTAAAGCTTTTTGGGCGAGCGCCCTGCCCCCCTAATGTTCTCTGCAGAGTCCGTGAATTTCATGTAGTACTTGGTCTGCTTCAGCTCGGCACAGGCAGTGCAGGTAGGGTAGTGTAAAGGATCTTATGTATAGCTGCTTGCTCATCATCATGTAGCAAACTGCCTATTTCTCTATTCTTTGAGCTATGTTAAGCTCCTTTGGCAATATTCCTTGGCGTAGGTAGTCGACGAGCGGGTCTATCCAGCTCGACTCTACTATTGTCACTTGGACGACCTCTTCTACCGCCCTTTCTATGGATGGGCAAGGTAGGTCTTCTATGTAGACCGTTCTTTTCATGGAGTCGATTGCATTGGCCAACTCAGTGAGAGCATCGACCTTGGTGTTTTCCGATCTCGCAATTTGTTGCATGTGCCAAGAGTGGAAGCCAAGCAGGAGTTCCCTTTCCTTGGCCAAGTAGGCCGACATGGCGAGCTCATACAGTCCATTCACTTGGTTGACCATAAGCTGAGAGTCACTGCAAACTACCAGGTGCTTGGCCCTGACTTCCTTCGCTACTGACAGCCCGACTATTAATGCCTCATACTCGGCTTTATTGTTCGAAGCTCGGAATAGGAATCGGAGCACGTATTCCAGTTTTACTCCGCTAGGTCCATAGAGGATTAACCCAGCTCCGCTTCCACATAGAGTATCCAGGGCTCCTCGTCCCAGGCCGGGATCTCCTGAACTAGGGTGGGTGTCGCACTGGTTTAGGCCTCCAAAGTGGTTGCTAGCTCGGCAACTTTAGGGTTAATGAGTTGAAGGTATACTCAGCGATGAAATCGGCCATGATCTGTGCTTTTATTACTGGTCGCAGCTTCTAACAGATATCATATTCGCTGAGCTCAATTGCCCACTTTGTGAGTCTCCCCGAGACCTCGGGCTTCTGAAGGATCTGTCTCAGAGGTTAGTCGGTCAAAACTACAATAATGTGAGCTTGGAAGTTGGGCTTTAGCTTTTAGGATGCTAACACTAGAGCGAAGGCCAATTTCTCTATGTCTGAGTACCTCGTCTCGACAACATGTAGTACTTTGCTTACATAATACATAGGTCATTGTACTTTTCCTATTTCCCTAACTAGGACCGAGTTAACTACCTCATCACTTGCGGAGAGGTAAAGCTTAAGCTTGTCCCCGGTCTCAAGTCTGGTCAACAAAGGTGGTGAACTCAAGTATCTTTTTAGCTCGTCAAAGGTGAGCTGACACTCTTCGGTCCACTCAAAGTCTTGGTTCTTTTTATTGCTTTGAAAAATGGTAAACACTTTCCAATCGACTTAGACATAAATCGGTTCAGGGCGGCTATTCAGATAGTCAACTTTTGGACTTCTTTAACCGAGCTAGGGGGTCACATATCTAGTATTGCTTGGATTTTTTCAGGGTTGGCCTTGATGCTACATCAGCTAACAATATATCCGAGGAACTTACCTGACGTCACACCAAAGATGCACTTGTTCGGGTTGAGTTTCAAGTTGTATTTTCTTAAAACATTAAAAACAAGGTCTAGGTCAGTAATCAAATCATTTGAAAACTGAGTCTTAACAACCATATCATCTACATAACACTCAACTTTATTTCCGACTAAATTCGAAAAAACATTGTTTACAAGTCGCAAGAAAGTTGCTCCAACGTTTTTAAGTCTGAAGGGCATGACTTTATAATAGTACAAGCCCATCTCAGTTACAAAAACAGTTTTTTCTTCATCAGCCGGGTCCATTGAAATCTAGTTGTAGTCGGAATAAACGTCCATAAAACTCAACAACTCAAATCCTAAGGCCGCATCTACTAGGCGGTCAATCCGAGGGAGACAGAAACTATCATTCAGGCGGGCTCGGTTCAGGTCGGTATAGTCGACGCACATGCACCACTTGTCGTTGGCCTTCATCCACTATTTTCCATCTCTCCAGGGCGAGGTTCCTTTCCCTCTGTCGAACTAGTCTAACTGTGGGGTCAACATTTAATTTGTGAGTTATTATCTTAGGATCTATGTCGGGCATTTTTGCTGCCAACCAAGCAAAAATGCCTAAGTTGCTAAGTAGAAAACTAACCAAGTTGGAGTGCACCAGCTCTGGTAGGCGAGCTCCTATCTGTACCATCTTCTCTGGCTCGGCCTTTGAGACCGGCACTAGGACGGTTTCTTTTGTTGGTTGAGCTCACTCATCTGTGTGTTCAGGTGGCAGCTCCAAGTCGATGTTGATGACAATCTTGCCTTTTGCCTTCAGGGCGGCTAGGTAGCATTTGCAAGACTCTAGCTAGTCTCCTCGCATGACTCCAATGCCTCTATCAGTGGAGAATTTTACAACCGGATGGTATGTTGAAACAACTACCCAAAGGGCATGCAAGATAGGTCGGCCTAGTATGGCATTATACGGGAAGGGAGTGGCGACCACTAGACAATCGTGATCAAACCTAACCGCATTGGGGGGTGATCCTGCTACAACTGGTACCCTCACCCAGCCAATGGGCTGAACTACTTTCCCCACTAAAGCCAACCAGGGGCACGTCAGCTGGCTTTAGGTCTTTTCTGCCAATCTCCATGTGCTCAAATGCTTCTTGGAAAATGATATCGGCCAAACTCCCTGAGTCGACCAGAATCCTCTTCACTTCAAAATCGTTGATCAGCAACTTCACAACCAAGATGTCATCGTGTGGATACTGTATTCCACAAGTGTCGTCTTCTATAAAGTAAATCACCTCTTTTCTTCGAGGGTGCTTTGGTGGGTTGTCACTGTCATACTCTAGTTCCCTGACCAAGTTTTTCCCGATCGAGGTGGTACAACTGGCTATTATGGAGCCCCCGGTGATCATATTGATGACCCCTCGGATAGGCCGCTCTTGTTGCTGATTTTTGGGAGCTACTTCTTGCTCCCTGCTTATCTGAGGTGCTTCCTTGCATTGCTCGGCAGGTCGGCCTTTCTTCTTCTTTCTTCACAAATTGCTTGAGGTATCGTCGGATCAGTTCCTCAATCTCATTCTTTAAGTTCCAGTAGTTCTTAGTATCATGACCTATGTCATAGTGGAAATGGCAGTACTTATTTAGGTTTTTGTTAGCAGGGTCGCCCTTCATCCTAGGTGGCCACTTTACATACTTTGTCAATTTTATTTTCATTAATATTTCTACTCTTTTCGCATTCAGGGGATAAATGTTTTAGTATACAATGGTGGGGTTCCAGATCGTTAGCTTGAACCTGAACCCTATTGTTGGGACTTACTCTTTCTTCTAGGCAAGCTGCTTCACCAACTTTTGGTGACCTGCTTCTTTTGGGAGACTTGCTTCTCCTCTTCGACTTATTGCTGCCTGCTTCTTCTTCGGTTCACTTCCTTTTTCTGAACAATTCTGACCACGACCCTAGGGCTTCTTCTGCCTTGATGAATTTATCCGCCATTGCAAGGAATTTCTCCATAGTGGTCGAAGGGTTTAGTTCAATCTCCCAGCATAGGTTGGGGTGATCACCGTTTTTGGCCGCAGTGAGCTGCATGGCTAGGTCCAGATCCGGGATTTGCAGACGTTCCATGTTAAATCTTTTTATGTATTCCCAGAGAGTTTCATTAGGTTTCTGTATTACATTTAGCAAGCAGGTTGCTGATTTGGAGTGTCTCTTACTTGTCGCAAAGTGAGTGATGAATAGGTTGGCGAGCTAGTTCCAATTCTTTATTGAACCAGGGGCCAACCCTGAATACCAGATTCAAGCTTCATCTTGGAGAGTAGTGGGAAAGGCAATGCACATGCTAGCATCATTGTCCCCATGAAGTAACATTAGGGCCTGAAAGCTATTTGTGTGATCAATCGGGTCTATCGCACCTTTATAGGTTTCA